AGCAGCAGCACTGCCCCCAGGGAGCAGGAGCGGATGCCATCGGTGGCAGCATTCCAAATGATGTCAGCGGATGCTGAGCAGGCAGCGGACGGATGGACAGAAGCGATGCGTGCACCTTCTGTTGACATTTTATTTGGCAGCGATTTAACGCTAGCTTCCTAGTACTGCTATTCTCCACAGGCTGCATTCAAATGTATGAGGGGAAGGGAGGCAAAAAGATGCAAAATCCGAGACGTGCGGCAGAAGTATTTCTTCTCTGTGGAAGCATGCACAAACAACCTTCCCCAGCAGCATCAGAAGAGCACAGCATAACCTTTTCCGAGACCAGAAAAGGAAATTCACAAAGCCTCTGTGGATACCAGCACGTTCAGCTCTCCTGATAGCAGATTTTTTGTCAGGTTGCAAATGGTGTATGGTGCCAGGAGGTGCAGGGACCATATGATCATATACAGCACAGCAGTCATCACGCATGTATTAATATATTAAGTGAGTAACAGTGTTACTTTGCCAAAGCAATGGTTCAGAAATGAGTCCTGCTGCATACCTCTATCTTATAACTGTCACTTATAAATAGTAAAACCTTCTCATTCCGCCATGAGCCTTTCTCTGTCAGCACCAATGGTGCTTTGCCTGTACCCAGCTGCAAGGAATCAGCCCATGATCTCATTAGCACTCAGCTCTGCAGGATAAATTAGATTGTTCCACTTTCTTTTGTTGTTAATAACGAAGGAACAATTGTTCAGTGGTTATAGTCCTAATTGTCAGCTACAGAAACCCTCTCCATTCAGTTCCTTCTGTTCCGGCAAGCTGTCCAGGCTATAGCACCATGATGCATGCTACCTCTCACTCCATCCTTCTTCTCTTTCCCACCAGGGAGAGCTGTGTGTTTTCACTCTCAGCCACTCTGAACAATACGAAACTGCTACGCACCTTCTCCCTCGGAAAGAAAATCCCCTTGTTGCTTTCTTTATTTACAAGATCCTTCTTAAAAAGCAAACCATCATTCACTGCAAATCCGGATCTTCCTGTTTTTCTTTCCACAAGCAGCTGGCTTCATTTGTCTTTTTTTAAACACTGTTTTCCAGGTGAATTTTGGCCAGCGTGTTGGCTGAGATACAGGAGCACGTTTCAGCTTTCTGCTCTCGTTGCTCCTGTTCTGTATTACCTCTTTCTGGGGTTTCCCAGAGGGAGGAAACTTTGCGTGGGGGGTGAGATAATGCCCCTTTTTTCGGGGTGGCTGCTGGGCAGCAGGATGGCTCTGAGTCACTGTGGCACCTCTGAGAGCCATGACTGTGCACCACTGGTTGCTTCCTCTCATCTGTGTTTTGTGCAAGGGAAGCAAAATGTTCACAGAACAGCGCTGATCCTGAAGTCTGGAGTCTAAGGCTTTATCTGTACCCAGTGAAATTCTTTCTCTGTTACATAAAGTCCAGATAGGACTCAGAAAAATAGTTATTCCAGCCCTTCTCTTCCTCAGATCTGGAGCACCACTTGTTTGCAGCCAGTTCTCCCCAAAATGCACACCTCACCAAGTGGAGGGAGACGTAAACAGCGAAGGTTAATTACCTCCTTGTCAAAAACACTTTGTGGTCCATAGATGTTTCTGTCAATCTTACAAAACAGAACCGAGGGCAGTGAGCACTGAAGGCATGTTCCTGTGCTGAATTAATGAGACTTGGCAGCTTGCTGTGCAGAGATGATCCTTGTGCTTCATGGGAGGCTGTAACCTGTCTCCCCATTGCCTTCACGCCGCAGTGCTGCCCTGAACACCTCACCCTCCATAAGCTGTTGGATGCAGCTGCCCAGAAATGAAGAGATTTTTCCTAAAGCTTTTAGGACTCATCTTTGCTGCATAGTAGTTTGTAGCAATTACTCATCCCAATTGTACTGAATGGGTTTCTGCCAGCCCTGCTTGTTTGTCAATAGGCATTTCTTCATTTTGCCTGTAAGTTTCTCTCAGCAGAACTGCTCTGGGTGACTTGAGTGGCTGCCTGGAATCTGAGGGGCACAGCCACCGCCTCCCTGTTGCTGGTGCTGGGAACTTGCATGCTGCTGGATGGCGGGGAGCACAAAGTGCCTCATCCAAACACCTGGGTTGCAATGCTTGCACTGTGCTCTTTTAAGTATGCAGATGGTTTCTGGCCATTACTTGTAGAAATGTGCTGTGGAAGCCTGTATCTCTTACTGTGGCCCTTCAGCAAAAGCTGTGGGAAAGCTCTGGGGCTGCTTTCCCAGGTCATGGAGAAATTCTATGTTCCTTCTTTAACAGAAATTATCCCTAAGAGAGAGCACTGTACGAGCATTGTGCACATAAAACAGTTCAGGGTGAAAAGGCTCTCTGGAGGTTTCCAGCCTGACTACTGCTCAAAGCAGGGCCAGGTTCAAAGATTGCTCAGGATGTTGTGTGCCTTCCTGATCACCTGTACCACCAATGGAGGAGATATGTGGCCACTCTGCATCCTGTGCCACTCGTGGAGAGGAGTATTCTCTCATATTCAGACAGAACGTCATCCTTTAGCTCAGCCTTCCCTAACCCCACAAAGCAGCTGCAGATCCCCATACTCTCCCCTTCTCTAAGGTGAAGGCTGTGTTCCCCACCCCCTCTTCCCACCCTGTGTCCTGAGCAGCCTGCTGGGCTCTGCAGGACGTGTGCTCATGTGTCAATGCCTGTCCTTGCAGTGGGGCCTGGAACATTTAATTCACCACCAGAGTAATGTGGAACTGTGTCATCTTCCCCTGCAGGGTACAAAGTTCTGCATGGGGTCCTTTCGTTTCAGAAAAGCATTTACTAGTTCTACCTGAATCAAGCTTTATTTAATAAGTTCATAAACATATGGATATGTTTTCCTAGAGATACGTTTTAATCGTATCAGTGATTTTTATTTGCTTTGTTGCTTACTTCAAACAGTGCCTTTGGGCAGGAGGTGAGGGACAGGGCTGCTGTGGGCTCTGCAGTGATTTCTCTGGGCTTGTGGCTCAAGTCAGATAGTGGTCCCTCTATGGCCAGAAGGACAAAGATAGATGGAAATTGCAGTTTGAGTCACATTAAGCAGGCATGTTGGAGTGATTTGAAGCAGTTTCATGAAACAGCTACGACTACTTATTGTTGTTTTCTCCTTTTACAACAGAAGTTTTAATCAAAATAATGTGACAAAGCCCAGGAATGTTTGGGAAAAGCATAATCAAATGTTTTGTAATTCATTTGTCAGTATGTTACTAGCCAAGAAAGTCCTACCTTCAGTATGGAGTCTTGCAGAGAATACGACATCAATAGTAGTTTAGGAAAAAGCACCACCACCACTACCAGAAAACGGAAAATGTAAACCAAGAAATCCCTTAGGTAAGAGAGAAAGGATGTTGTATCCAGGCCAAGTCCTGCCCTGCTGTCAGCCTGCTGACCCTCTGCAGTTCAGGACCATGAAACGTGGCACTGTAAGACGTGACCCTGCCTTTGCTTACTCACACATCTCTGCCCTCATGCTGACTTCTGCACACAAGAGCATTTCCCTGTGGCCAAACAGCGATTAGCCATAAGCTGCACCTGACTTCGAGGATTAAGAGTTTGCAATTAAGTGGATTGCAGCAGGAGATCAGTGGCAGGGTTGCAGGTGAAATCCTTTCTAGGGGTAGCTAACGGTTGAGCAACCTGTCCTACAGCATGAGCCAAACCAGCCGAGGGTTTTCCCATGCTGTTGACAGAGGCAGGGCCAGCTGGAGCCGGAGCTGGAAGAGGCTGGGACTCTGCTCCCTGTGCAGAGAATGGAGGGATTTCTTGGTGCTGGTCCTGTGGCTTGCGCTGATCAGCCACAGGGAGATCAGTGCTCCCCAAGCAGTGCCTGTATTTCCATGTAGAAATGTAACCTACATATGCACAGCCATGCTGCATCCTTCAGAACGTGTCAGTGCTTATCTCCCATGGCCAAATATTACAGGTATTCTCACCATGTTGGACCTGTGAAAGGATTCATGGTAAGAAAATTAGGTTAAAGGTATGGCTGCAAAACTACTCATACCAAAACAGCAGAGCTCCAGACTTCATCCTAGGAAAGAGCCACTTGGAGAGGGATGGTGTGAAGGCTGGAGGTGAGAGACAGAGCCTGTCCCAGTTTTCCTGTCTCTATTTTCTGAAATGTCTGCGGGAGGAAAGGACAACTGTACTTTCAGGCAAAGCTGGTGCCCTAATGTAAATAAGTTCCCCGAACTTCAGTGTGCTTTGTTCTTGAGATGCTTTGGCAGAACACTTTGAGTCAATTCGCTTAACTGTGACTAGGTCTGTAAATAAGTGCTCCCTGCTGATAAGGTTCAAGTGACATTTTTAGTGGTATTTGACAGAATTTACCTTGCTTTCAAGTCTTCTACCAAGCTCTTCTACACTTAAGCAGTGAAAGCACCAAGAAACCCTTTCTTTTATCAAACTAGGGCTGAATACCATTAACTTCATAGGTTAGATACGGCGCTGCCAGCTTCACCTGGCAGTGGTTAATCAGTTCTGCTGGTGGCAAAGCCTGTGCTCTTACCTAGAGGTGAATATCCAAGAATGCAGAGCTGCATGGAAAGCAGAGCTGCAGGCACAATGGTCCTGAGCCTTAGCTGCTCCCTGCTGAGAGATGAGGATGCAGAAACGAACGAAGGACATGTCCCTTACTGCCTTCAGCATTCTGTGCTATTTAGGGTCCTGCCAGAGTCCTTAAGAGGTATCCTTTGTCCAAAAGGCTGTTTGTTTGATTTTGACCACTGAGAGCATGTGACACTTGTCTCAAGCTATTATCCAAGTGTCCAGCCAAAATCAATTGCCTGGGAGACGCAGACCATTACCTGGAGGTCAGGACCTCAATAAATATTACCAGCCTCATTGTGCCGTTGACAGATTCAGCTGGCTGCTCCGTGTTCCAGTCCAACAGCTCAGACGCCGTGTTTGTATATATTTGCAGGCAGCCTCGGGGGACCATCTCAGGAGCAGAGCACCGGCAGCCGCCTGCAGACCCGGGCAGTACCTCACTATGGCCATGGCAGGCATCTTTGTGCTGTTCTCTTTTGCGCTTTGTGGCTTCCTCCCAGGTGAGTAACTCCCAAAGTGCTGCAGAGGCTTTGTGCCTGCCAGTGCTGACTCTCCTTGGCAAAACGTGGTTGTCACCATCAGGGAGAGACTTCCCTACAAAGCACCTGCAAAGGCTGCCTCGGTACACGGGTATTAAATGGATTACTGCTGTGCTGGGTGTCTGTCGGGTTCTGTGTTCCCAACACAATTCTTAGGCTCTCAGCACTGTTACGCTGCTTGCATTTGCTGCAGAGAATGGATAAATGCTTGAAGCGAGGCCATAACGAGGTGGTCAGACCTCCAGGAACTAGGAAAATATTGTCACAGCACAAGCAAGCTCTGTGCAGGAACCTGGCAGCTTTCCTGCAATGCTTTTGCTGCTAATGGAGAAACAAGAGATGCAAACAAGCCAGGATCTGATGTTCTCCTTCCGTATTTACATCTCATGAAATTACAAAGTCAAAGACAAGTGTGGTTTATTTCTTACACTCAGCTTCTTTAAAATGTATATCCCTGACAACAGATGCTGTGTATGTTTGCTTATCCTGTATGTGAATATTTGCATTTGCATTTATCTGTATTGACTCAGGTTTCTTTTCAGATATGTGATAGATGTTTTCTAGGGACAAAACGGATGTGTAAATAGATAAGGAAGGAAAAGATATCCATTTTTCAATTAATAAATCTACCCTATCTCTTAATTTTTTTTTAAGAACGGAGCTATTCAAGAACACGTTTCATCAGTCAGCAATAAGAAACTAAATTATGCTTATCAGCATTAAAAAAAGTCATACATAGTTTACTTAGTTCAATAATTGAATCAGTGGAAGTCACTCAGTTTGGTTCTCTGTGCTGGAATTTTGCATGTACATTTCAGCTAGCTGTGGTCCCAATGATCAGACTGCCTTTGTTTTACATTTTTGTCCTTTTTTTCCCCCAGATGCTGCCTTTGGTGTTGAGGTAAGTAAGAGAGTTCTTTCTGTCCTCCTTTTCTCTTTTCTCTCTTTTTTTCCCCCTTTCTTAATTAGTATCACTGTAATCAGATCCCACAGTGTAAAATGTTAAATTATGCAGTTCTGAGCTCTACATCTATGCTGCATGTAATATAGAATTGTGATATAAAATTGTTGGATGAATTAATTTCTAATCGACTCTGAACTGGTCTAAGCTTCAAGTTGATCATATGGTCTGTGAAATAATACAGTGGTTTGGGTTGAAAAGGACCTTTAAGATCATCTAGTTCCAACCCTCCTGCTATAGGCAGGGCACCTCCCACTAGACCAGATTGTTCAAAGCCCCATCCGTATGATCAACTCTAGACTGATGGCTATAGACCATAGCAATAAAACCAACCCCAAAGCAGCCTACTGAAAGAAGAAAGGACTGTGAGGCACCACAGCTCCCAAACCCCAGGTTGTTAGACTCATTCTTTTGAATAAACATGTTTGTATGAATAACAATGGAAGAACACTGGAGGGCTTTGCACTCTCAGGCTTTGCAAAACGGTGCCTGGAGGACAGGATAGATCCCTGCTGGTTTACCACAGAGGGAGCTGCATGGCTGTAAACCCACTGCCCAGTCCTCTCCCACTACATGGACAGGAGGATGGTTCTGGTCAGTGCCCCTTGAAAATGAGAGATATAACTACAGAATGTCACTTTGTCCCGTTGCTGTGTGTTTCTTTGTCAGGTGGACTGCAGTAGGTTTCCCAATACTACAAATGAGGAAGGCAAAGACGTTTTGGTCTGCACTGAGGACCTCCACCCCATCTGTGGAACTGATGGAGTCACTTACAGCAACGAGTGCTTGCTGTGTGCCTACAACATGTGTGTACTGCAGAGAGAGCTCATCCTGCAAGCAAGCAGCTGTGCTTAGGGCTCCTGACAGCACCCCTTTCCAACAAACAGTGATCTGTTACATGTCACTTACGTTGACTCTTTCAGAGCAAGCTTGAGTACCACTGCGTGACACTCCGTTGCCTAGACATCACTTTGGTTACTGTGTCTTTTTTGTTGATGTAATTTATTCAGGTTTTTCTCCTCCATCTCAGGGATGAGGCAGATGATAGCCCCTGGGGCATATTTTACCCTGGCAAAAAGAAGCAAAAGGATGGAGAGATGCTCCAGTTTGAATGGTCCAAAACAGTCCTGAAGATTTCAGAGTCTTGAAATCCCTGCCAGCCACTCAGTGCTGGCTAGTTGGGCAGCATGGCATTACCCTCTCCAATACAAATGTATATATGTATATATAAATACAAAGATGACTTAGCAAGACTCAGCCTCATTGCATTAGGAACATACTCCCAGTAACAAGAAGTCTTTGCTGAGCTTCCTAATGTCTGTTTTCCCTCTTCAGAGAATATGGAACCAATATCAGCAAAGAGCACGATGGAGAATGCAGGGAAGCTGTTCCTGTAAGTGAAACCAAGTTCATCCTTTGTGCAGTCAAAACTGCATATTGGCTTGCCCAATAAATAATTTAAATGCTGAGTAAGAGGGCATGTGAGATGTCAGAATCTTGTACTGATCATCTTCAGGTGAAGTTTCATCACAGTAACACAAAAAAAGCATTTTTTCCTGCTGAGATGGCATTCTAGGAGGCCCAAAGCACGCACTCCACTGGTCTACATGGTCACTGTAAGCCCTCACTAGCGCTTTGCTCTGTGCTCCTTCCACAGATGGACTGCAGCAGGTATCCCAACACGACAAATGAGGAAGGCAAAGTGATGATCCTCTGCAACAAGGCCTTCAACCCTGTCTGTGGTACTGATGGAGTCACCTACGACAACGAGTGTGTGCTGTGTGCCCACAACGTGTAAGTCCTGTGCAGAGCTCCCTTGGCAGGAATGGGTCCTGCACCCCTGGCAGCCACTCTTTGAGCGCTGGGTTTTCCAATTATGCCTTTTCTGTATGGCTCTTGGACCCTGTCCCTCCTCTTCCTGATAACCAGATGCTGTTTTCCTTTGCAATTAGAAAGAGAACCGTGCCTTTGATCTTGAGAGAGAAGTAGAGAGCTGAGTGGGGACTTAAGAGAAGCACTCTGTCCTGTATTAACTAAGGGTCTGTGTGGCTCACATTGCCTTGCAGAGGACTGTGGCAAACCTCTGCGGCACCTATGCTGTAAAACAAGCTAGCTCCTAATCCATGACAGCCTGTCACCTCTTGTCCTTTGCATCATGCAATACTGCAACACTCTGGCACATAGTACCACCTCCCATAACACCTGGTGTGTTGAACCAGAGTGTTGGAGACCAATAGCATCCCTGTCTTCAGGACCATCAGGTACCATCCTGTGTAGAGGGTGGGGGGAGGGAGGACTCTGAGTCCCATGAAGTATTGGAGGAAGTATATATGACTTTTGAGGTCACTTCCAACCCAAGTGATTCTGTTATTCTATGAATGTCAGGGAGGTGGGGGTGCTTGCAGGGCTGATATCTTGAGTGGTATGGACACAAACTAGGCTGGGCATTTGCAGCCCATCAGCACTGCAATGATGTGGAGTTCAGCACAGCAGGATGCAGCCACAGCTCCCTGACATGGATTTTTTTCCTTTCAGAGAGCAGGGGACCAGCGTTGGCAAGAAGCATGATGGTGGATGTAGAAAGGAACTTGCTGCAGTGAGTGTGAGTTGCGCAATGAAGGAGCAGGTTCTGGTCCCACTGATGTCAAAGGAAACATGGCCAGCATCTGCAGTAGCCTCAGGAGCATCACTTGTGCTTCAGAACAGAGAAGATTTCACTTTCTACACATGCAATACACATTAACCACAGTAAAGTCAGGAAGGGAAGAAGACGACTGCACAGGAAGGGATCAGTAAAAGACCATGAGCAGAAATAACCCATGAGATCAGAACTGAGAATAGGAACTGATAATATATTTAGGGGGTCAGACCAATGGGCCACCAAACCCGTGATGGTTTGATGCAGAGTCCCCTCTTTCAGCATTCATAAGAATTGAGTAGGAAGGAGTAAGAGTGGGCTGAGTACATATGGATCTCCCCAAACACTCTACAGCTACACACCTCAGCCAGGTGTGATTTCTGTGTAGTTGGTAAGCCTCAGTGGATTTCTCTCCCATGGAATTCTCCAGCCTCTTTCTGGACATGTATCCATGGTAGTTGTTGGGTTTTTTGGGGAGTGTGTTTGTTTGTTTTCTTTTCCTGCCTCTTTTATTCCCCCCACAACAATGACCCTCAGCAAATATACTACCCATCTCTCAACCAAACAAATCCCATTCTCCATGTACCCAGATAAGTGCTGATTTTTGCTTTGAGCCTGTGGGAGAGATGCTGGACCATTATAAAGGTATCAGTGCTGCCTCTTCTCCAGACACCAGTGTTTTTTCCATTTAATTTCCTGAACAGGTCAGGAACACGGTGCAACATGATTGTAAGCACAGCACGTTCACGGAGCGAGCTGCTGCTGCAGCTCAGAAATGCAGCAGTCAGGTTGTGATATGCATCTCTTACACAGGAAATTATGCTCTATTTTTATATTATTAAATCTAGCATAGGAGAAAGGACATCCAGTTTATATCAGATCGTGCAAGGAAATTAATTATTTTTAGTTAGATCATTATCATCGGCACTGCAGCTGTAGCTGGGGAGGGGTTGAAGCTCTTCAGCTATCGACTCCTTCATATCCTCCACATCACAATGGTGTTTTTGCAGGTTGACTGCAGCGAGTACCCTAAGCCTGCCTGTACGATGGAATACAGACCTCTCTGTGGCTCCGACAACAAAACATATGGCAACAAGTGCAACTTCTGCAATGCAGTCGTGTACGTACAGCCCTGGTTGCATTCATGTCGTCGGCTGCCTCCTACAGGCACCAGCTTGCACAGTTCCTGCTTTTGTTGCTGACTGCTGACCAGGATTTGGGGGCAGAAAAGAACACCAGGCATCGCGCCAGCCATTCATTTTATTTTTCACCAGAGCATGTCCGGTTTGTTAGAATGGATGTTTTGAACATCATTAACCTTAAGGGAAGTTTTCCTTGCTTGCTGCAAAGAAAATCGAATTTGGTGTTTCATTATAGTTTTCAGAAGGGGTTAAATGATTTCACTCATCTCTTAATAATCAGATAGCTGAGGAGATGCTGAGCCTGCCAGTTCTTGGGCTCTGGGCAGGATCCCATCTCTTGCCTTCTCTAGGACAGAGCGCAGCAGGCTCTGTGGCTCTGTGTCTAACCCACTTCTTCCTCTCCTCGCTTTCAGGGAAAGCAACGGGACTCTCACTTTAAGCCATTTTGGAAAATGCTGAATATCAATGCTGGGAGAATTCACCACAGGATCCCCACTGGCAAATCCCAGCGAGAGGTCTCACCTCGGTTCATCTCGCACTCTGGGGAGCTCAGCTCACTCCTGATTTTCTTTCTCAATAAACTAAATCAGCAACACTTCTTTGTCTTGTTTAATGCTCTGTCTCATGCAATGTTTTCTTCTGATTTGTTGGACGGTGACACCAGACTGAATATGTTCCATGCTCGTGGCTCTGGGGTATAACAAGAACAACATCTTCCTCCCATCCCTGTCATAAAAGGCAGAAAATTAAATACAGATGCATAAACCTCGGCTGTGTGACTTTGCGCATAAATGATAGTCAGCCTCCATTAGTGTTCAGACCCTTTTAGACAGCTGAAATATTGCTACAAACTGCTGATGCTGGCTGAGCTCCCCTATGATACAAGCAGCGCACTTTCCTTGTGCAGCATTAGCAGTGAAAGCAGCTCAGGGTGCAGTGGTGGCCAAATGCAGGGCCAATCCCATCGCCTCCTATCCATGGTCCATACCCATGGGCACAGCTGCTAGTGAGGTGCATGTTTTTCGGACACGTTAGTCTGCCCTGCCTACGTGCCTGGGTCCTCCAAATGACTTTGCAAGGTTTTTCTCATCTTGTCCTTTAATGATCACCAAGTGTTTGAAGATGAATGCCTTGCTAGGTCTGGTTCTGCTTCTGCCTACTGGTCTTTCCTCAGCCCGAGTATCTGAGCAGTGTTTTGCAGTCTGAGGACAAAGTATCCCTCTGCTTTTGAGTGTGACCTCTGTCATTGGCTCATTGTCCGTGAAATTTATTCTGCTTTTGTCCTTTGTTGGTGTATTGAACTGATGTTTTCTTGATCCACATGAGAGAAAATTTAATAAAAGTTACAAAAAAATAATTCCTCCCTTAAACGTTTCTTTTCCTTGATGGAATGAGGTCGTTCAAAAGAAGGATTCTTTGGTGGTAAAACAAAGGATTTATGCTGAGATGGGTAGATGGATGAAGGAGTGATTTCCAGTTTGGATTGAAATTTTCTGGGATCCAGGCTGTGGGCCTCACATCATTCTGTCATCATCAGGCTATCAGTCTGCTGCTGCAAATCTACCCCACAATGCTAATGGCTTTTAGGGAAAATAGCAATTGTTAGTTCTTTGCAAATGCCCATAAATCTTCTTCCATCGCTTGTCCAGTTCCAGGACTCTTTTCAGCCCCTGGTCCCCCACTTGCTCTCTCTCCCAGCTCAGAGTTTTCCTGGATTTACAATGACTTGATGACACATTATTGATAGAAAAAGGGGAAATTGTTTCAAACTGGAAGAGAGGAAATTTAGACTGGACATAAGAAAGACATTTTTTACAATGCGGGTGGTGAGCCACTGACACAGGCTGCCAAGAGAGGTGGTGGTGCCCCATCCATGGAGACAGACAAGGTCAGGAGGAGCTCTGAGCACTGATGGAACTTTGTCCCTGTTCCTTGCAGGGGGTTGCACCAGAAGGCCTTGAAAGATCCCTTCCAACTCAAATGATTCAATGATTCTATCGGGATGAAGCACAACAATTAAGAATTTCCACTCTGGAAGACATTCAATTCAGTTTAACAACATTTTGCCAGGAACATTGAGAAAGCACTGCATATAGATAAGCACTGATAACATGCACATGGAGGAAATCCAGCAGCATTCTCTCTTCAGGTTTGTACAGTTGCTCTTTTGCCCACAGGAATTTTCCACGGTCCTTCAGCAGGCACCTGTCACACACTTCACTGGAAATAATGAAGCCAAGGGCATACTTCACATATTTAAACCTGTGATTGCTGTTGATAAAGAAGCATTCTTTGTGGCTTACCTCTGTAAGTGCCATCAAGATTTACAACCCTGACACCAGAGCATAAACGCCCGTTATTTCAGAGTAAGGGTGGGTAAAACAAACGTGAATGCACACAGCCACGCACACACTGAACAGGTTGCCATCCAAGGGCAGAAGGGCCACATTCCATGAGCACGATGCACTTCTGCTCTTTGCCATTGCCCAGGTGAGGGGCTGTGCTCCTGCTCTGCGCTTCGTCGAGTGCCGGCTGTAAAAACACAACAAACATCCTCAGACTGGAAAGAGCTGTGTTCTACAAGGACTTATTTACTCCTAGAGAGATGGTGTTGAAAAGACTTGACATCAAAGACTATCACTTATGGGGTAATATTTTAGCAACAGAACTGAGTGGGTAAGAACAACTGTGGGAACAGCTCCGCGCTCAGTGCTAGTTTATGCATAATGAAAGCAGTGACATGTACGTGGTACCACCCGGCGACTCTGACATCCACTATCGAACCTCCAAAACACTCCAGAATCACAAATTATTTTACTGAATGGAAGCGAATGTCTCTTGCAGTCATCCTGAACTGAGATGCAATTGGAGAGGCTGAACGGCTGCAGCAGCGTTAGGGGAGTTGCACCTCGCTGAGCCCTCCCGTTATTTTGGTGCTATTGTGAGCTGCAAGCAGGAGCTGCTGCCAGTCCGTGCCAGCTCTGCGGCCCTGCTTCCCCAGCAACTTGCTTATCTCTGAGTACCTGGCCTTGCTCATCCTGTGAATCACAGAAAATTGCTTTCTCTTCCTCTCTTTCATTTTGCACATTCTTCTCCACCCAGGCTGTAACCACATGAGAAAAAAATGCAGTACAGAATCGCTGTTGTAAACCTCAGTGTGGCACGTTTTGCCTGAAATTCCTTTTGTCTGAGAGTCGTAGACCGAATTGAAAGTTGTTTATTCAGGACATGCACTCACGGATTTTAACACTAACGGAGGAGATGAATTGCATTTGTGTCACACTTCCTATTCCCTTCTTTTTTTCCAGATCCCACTGCACTGAAGGTAAGCGACAGACCTTCAATTTTTTTCTCCATCATTTCTTTCCTCAAAGCAGTTTCCATATAAATCATTACTAATCGCATTGTGATTGAGCGTTTGAAAGCCCTGAGTCATCCCACGGTCTGAGCAATATTTGCTACAGATATTACCGAGTGAAATGGCCACTTTCATCTGATCGTTTAAAAAAAATAAAATAAAATAAACAGTGCAGCATTCAGTTGGTGTCCAAGTTATTGTCACGGTTACTGCAGCAGCACTGAAGATATTTACATGGGATTTACATCACTGGAGACTCAGAGGGCACTGCAGGAATGTACTGCACTATTCCTGCCCTGTCCTTAAGCTCTTCTTTGATAGCTGCTGATGGTCGGTACTGGGGAAAGCCCAGGGCTGGGGGGGAGGTCTCCTGGCATTGCCCTGCTGATAGATCTGCTGCTGAGGGTATTTTTGTGAGCACAAGGCTGCATCGATCTACAGGGCGACTGCAGTGCCTGCGCCGTACCCCGCAATTTCTGCTCTCAGGAGTACATCCCACACTGCGGGTCTACGGTGTAACATATGCCAGCAAATGTTTATTCTGCAATGCTTTTCTGGGTGTATGAAAATAAATCTCTTTGCTAACTAAGTGGTGAACTTCAACTGTCTTATCAAATTCGGGGACTGGTTGGAGATGGAAGGTTGTTTTGTTTTCCTACTAGCAAGGGCAGTATTTTTTTTTAAAGCGTGAGGGTTTACCAGGGATTCCTTTCTTTCAGGTATAAAGAAACAACATTTAGCAGAGATCTTAATCTCCACATTGGCTAATTTGCTGAAGAGCTCGCTTCCAGCAAATACAGTCTATTTCCTACAGACTATTTGTTCTTCTTTTAAATTAAGTCTTTATCATGTCTTTGAATGTTAGTAATAAGAGGAAATAGCTAGAACAGCTTTCCAAATGTTCTGTTTTGGTTAAGTTCCTCTGTGATGTATCCTTAAGCAGAGGGATGGATGCACAGCAGAAGTGCAGAGATTCTGCCTCTGAGGTCCTGAGTTCTTTCTCTGCAGAACTCACTGGGCTCTCACTTTGCTGTGCCCTGCACAGTGCTCACATCACAGCCCACCAGGCTCCAGCTCAGACAGAAGGACTCTCCCTGGCTGTGTCCCCTATAGTGGATGCTGCACAAAGCCTCATTCTGAACTTTGAGAGCTCCTGATAAAGCCTGAAATTATGCTCAATAAAAAAATCTTTCAGCATTTATGTCTTGCTTTCATACTACGTATCATGCTGCTGTTTTGTTGTTTTTTTTTTATTTTAAAGATGCTGTGTGATTGCTTCACTGAAACAGTCCTGGGGTGTGGTTATTAATGGGTAAATTACCAGGAGAAATAATGGATTGTCTGATTTATGAAGAAATGAACCCCTCCAAAAGGCCATGAGCTTCTGCTTTCTTCCAGATTTTCAAAAGAAAACCTCTGCTGGGGATGAGACCCAGTGCAATGTTCAGGCCACCCTGTACAGACACTGTCTGTCCCCTTAGGAGCTGAAAATAAAGTGGTGGTGGGTACCCATAGGTGTGGGAAGCCTTTCTGCAGCCACCTGTTTTGCCTCCCGAAGCAGAGGATGGGATATTTTCCCATCTGTACAGCACCAACAGAGGGGTGGCAGCAGGGCGAGGAAAGTGATTGCCCCCCTCTGCTCTGCTCTCATTGGAAGCCACGTGCAGTATTGCATCCAGGCCTGGGGCCCCAGCATGAGAAAGATGTGGAACTGTTGGAGCGGGTCCACAGGAGGCCATGAAGATGATAAGAGGGCTGGAGCACCTCTCTTATGAAGAAAGGTTGAGGGAACTGGGTATGTTCAACATCAAGAAGGGAAGGCTGAGGGGAGACCTCATTGCAGTCTTCCAGTACTTGAAAGGAGCTTGCAACCAGGAAGGTGAGCAAATTTTTACATGGTCTGATAGAGATAGAATAAGGGAGAGAGGCTTTAAACTAAAAGAGGAAAGATTTAGGTGAGATTCTCTACTCAGAGGTTGATGTAACACTGGCACTGCTGTCCAGAGCTGCGGGTGCCCCATCCCTGGACATGAGCTGAAGGCCAGGTTGGATGGGGATCTGTGCAGACTGATCTGGTGGGGGGCAGCCAGCCCACAGTAGGGGTTAGGGTAGATGGGCTTTTAGGCCCT